GCTGGGATTACAGGCAACTGCAACCATGCCCAGCTAATTTTTGTATTTTTTTTTTTTTTTTTTTTACTTTTTCTTTTTCTTTTCTTTTCTTTTCTTTTTTTGAGACGGAGTTTCGCTCTTGTTACCCAGGCTGGAGTGCAATGGCGTGATCTCGGCTCACCGCAACCTCCACCTCCTGGGTTCAGGCAATTCTCCTGCCTCAGCCTCCTGAGTAGCTGGGATTACAGGTACACACCACCATGTCCAGCCAATTTTTTTTGTATTTTTAGTAGAGATGGGGTTTCACCGTGTTGACCAGGATGATCACCTTGACCTCGTGATCCACCCGCCTTGGCCTCCCAAAGTGCTGGGATTACAGGCTTGTGCCACCGCGCCCAGCCTAATTTTTGTACTTTTAGTAGAGATGGGGTTTCGCCATGTTGGCCAGGCTGGTCTTAAACTTCTGACCTTGTGATCTCCCTACCTTGACCTCCCAAAGTGCTTGGATTACAGGCGTGAGCCACCGTGCCCAGGCAAGAGATTCTTCAAAGAAGCAAGAGAAAAGAGACTCTTCTCATACTGGGGAATATCTATATGGTCATCAATAAATAGCTCAGCAGAAACTATGCAAGCCACATAGAAGTGAGACCATATATTTGAAGTGCAAATGAAGAAAGAAAAAACTTTGACAAATAAGAAGACTATACCTGACAAAGCTGTCCTTTACAAATGAAGTATCAATCAAGATATTCTCAGATTAAAAAAAATAAGTTGAGGAAATACAAAAAAATGCTAATCAGAATTTTTCAAGTTCTAAGAATGGAATCCTAACTTCCAGCAAGAAAACACATAAAAGTATAAATCTTACTGGAAAACATATATACATAGAGGGCTATAAAACTATGATGCATAGATCACTTTTAATGCTGGCATAAAAGCTACAAGAAAGTATTAAAATACATATAGCTTCAATAATTTGTTAACAGGTATACAGTATAAAAAATGTAAAGGGTGACATAGTATGTTAAAGGAAGTAAAATTGTTTAATTTTTCTATACATAGAAGTTAACTTAACTTTTGCTTGAGGCCTGGAGTTCAAAACCTGCCTGGTCAATATAGCAGGACCCTGTCTCTAAAATAAATACATGAATACAATAAAGATCTCACAAAGCTATTTAGTCTTTTGTAAAAAGAATCACTGATTGTGATGTCTCATGCCTTTAATCCTAGCACTTTGAGAGGCCAAGGCAAGTGCGCTTCTTGAGCCCAGGAGTTCCAGGCCAGCCTGAGCAACATGGCAAAATCCTGTCTCTACATAAAGTACCCCAAAAAGGTAGCTGGACTTGTGCTTGTAGTCCCAGCTGCTCAGGAGGCTAAGATGGGAGGACTCCTTGATCCTGGGGAGTTTGATGCTATACTTAGCTGTGAATGCACTGCACTGCACTATAGCCTGAGTAACACAGCAAGACCCTATCTGTACAAAAAAAAAAAAAAAAAAGGAGTTAAATTGTCATCTCAAGTTAGACTTTTTTTTTTTTTGAGACGGAGTTTCTTTCTTGTTACCCAGGCTGGAGTGCAATGGCGCGATCTAGGCTCACCGCAACCTCCGCCTCCTGGGTTCAGGCAATTCTCCTGCCTCAGCCTCCCGAGTAGCTGGGATTACAGGCACATGCCACCATGCCCAGCTAATTTTTTGTATTTTTAGTAGAGACGGGGTTTCACCATGTTGACCAGGTTGGTCTCGATCCCTTGACCTCGTGATCCCCACCTTGGCTTCCCAAAGTGCTGGGATTACAGGCTTGAGCCACTGCCCCCGGCTCAAGTTAGACTTTTATAACTATGAGTTATTTTATGTAGGTCACTTGGAAATTAAAAACTATAGTAGATACACACAAAAAAGAAAAAGAATCAAAGCATATAACAACAAAAACAAAACAAAAATTCAAGAAAATGCAAGGGAAGAAAGCACAAAAGAATTAAAACACAGAAACTACTAAATGGTCAGAAAACAATGAACAAAGTGGCTCTGGTATATACTTTCTGTCATCCTCAAGCTTTTGGTCATATTGTAATATGGAAATATGATTCTCATCAGATAAGAACTGCATGATCTTGGACTTCTCAGCATCCGGAATTGTGAGCTAAGAAAACTTCTTTATACATTATCAACTCTGGGATATTCTGTTATTGGAGCAAAAAATAAATTAAAACACTCATGGAATGTCTGAATTGATTTTAAAAATCAACAATATGCTGTGCACGAGAGACTTACTTTAGATTTAAGAAAACACATAGGTTAGTGGTTTAAAGATGAAAAAGAATATTCCATGCCAATAATTAAAACAGTGTAGGAGTGGCTATATCAAACAAAAGAGACCTCTAGAGAAAAAAATCTGTCACAAAAAAAAGAACTTTGTTTGCATATGATGCAGTCTTACATTTGGAAAAACCTAATTCACTAAAACACTATTAGAACCCATACATTTAGTCAAGATACAGGATTTAAAAATTAGTGTTTCTACATACCAAACAATGAGCAATCTGAAAATCAAACCAAAGGAGTAATCCCATTTACAATAGCCACAAATTAAAATTAAATACCCAAAAATGAACTTAACCAAAGTGAAGAAAGATCTCTGTGATGAATACTATAAAACATTGATGCAAGAAATTAAGTAAGACAAAAAAAAGATGTTTTATGTTCATGAATAGGAGGAATTAGTATTATTAAAATTTTCATACTCCCCAAAACAATCTACAGACTTAATCTACGGATTTTTAATTGCATTAAATCTGTAGATTTAATGCAATTCCTATCAAAGCATCAATGACATTCTTCACAGAAATAGGAAAAGCAATTTTATAATGTAGACAGAACTCAGAATAGCCAAAGCCATTGTAAGAAAAAAGAAACTGGAAGAATCACAGTATTTGACTTTACATGATACGACACAGCTACCATAATTAAAACAGCATAAACTGATAAGTAGAGAGAATGCAGAGATAAATCCATACAACTATAGCAAACTTATTTTTGACAAAGGTGTCAAAAATATATTGTTACTGGTAGAAAGTGCCCAGGTTCTTGGCATCTTGAACAAAGAACTACACAAAACGCACAAACAAAGCAAGGAAGGAATAAAGGGATTTACTGAAAATCAAAGCACACTCCACAGTGTGGGTCCAAGTGTAGGGGCTTTAAGGCCCCATTACAGAATTTTGGGGAATTTAAATACTGCCTAGAGGATTCCATTAGTTACTTCGGGTATGCCCTATATCAGGCGTCCCTAAACTACAGCCTGCAGGCCACATGCAGCCCCCTGAGGCCATTTATCACCCACCCCCGCCCCTGCCGCCATACTTCAGGAAGAGGCACCTCTTTCATTGGTGGTCAGTGAGAGGAGCACAGTATGTGGCGGCCCTCCAACGGTCTGAGGGACAGTGAACTGGCCCCATGTGTAAAAAGTTTGCGGACGCCTGCCCTTTATAAATGGAGAGGATAAAGTACAGTTATAGTTACTTACAGTATGATGCCCTATGGAGAGGATGTTTCCTGGTATGGCTGGTATGAATTGGCCTTATGTTCCCTGCCTCCAGACCCTGTTTTCCTGCCTCATCTCCCCCGTGAGAGATGTGATCCCCCTAAATCTTTATAGGAGGTAGAGGAACTGATGGTCTTTTTCTTGTAACTTCCTTATGCTGGCTTGGGACGTAGTACCTGCCTACTGGGGATCCTGGAACTCTCGCCTGTTCTGTCTGGTGGAGGCAGGGCAGTTTCTTGATGCCCGGGGGGGTTTATCCTGGAAATGGTTGGAGCTTTTGTTTCATGATTATCTGAAGTTTGATGGTCTCTTGATGAGAGCAAATGTATTTGGTTAAGATTTAATGGGGGCGGATACCTATGCTGTTAGGAATGTTTGTTATAGAGATTTGCAGGAGGAAAACAAAACAAAACCTGGTTTGTTCTAGGATTTATGTGCTTCCTTAAAGTCTTAGCACAAGCAACTCCATTTTGGTTTGGTCTGTTGGGGCCTAGTATATGAGCTTAGTTCAAAATAATGGTATCCCAGAATTTTGTTTAAAGACTTCCCCCTTTTTAGTTAGGTTCTCACTTAGAGTGTGTCCAAAACTTAGGGCCTTAGAGTTACCACCATTTTGGGTTTCTGGTCTCAGCACGTTATTTATAGGTTATGGTATTCTCATGGTTGCACATTTCTTTTAGCTCCTGTTATCCTAGTTGAAGAGAGACCATAGAACATTCTGAAGATGGCTGCATGCAAGCATTTAAAACCTTTGAGAGACTACAGCGCACAAGGGAGACTATGATTTTGATTACTGGGAGGAAAATACCAAGAGTTCACAGTACGCTCCTTGCCGAAGGTTTCCATAAACCAAACCTTGTAAAATTAAATAGATCAAAGAATGAGCCAGATAAACAGTTTACTTACTTAATTAAGCAGTTTCTTTGTTAATATCCTACTACTGAATTTCTGTAATCTTTATTTGATGTATTTTTCCATAGGCCACAAATGCCAGCAGCTACACAAGTACTTCTTTGTTTAGTCACTTCTATTATAACTTTCACAAAAGAATTTAAGGTCTATTGGGTAACTGTAACCTTTACAGTACAATCTGCTGTAAAGCCTATCATGAGGGACACATTTTTAATCAGTTTTTTTGTTTGTTTTTGTTTTGAGATGGAGTCTTGGTCTGTCACCCAGCTAGAGTCTTGGTCTGTCACCCAACTCTCCACCCCAAGTCCACAGAATATACATTCTTCTCAGCACCACATCACACCTACTTTAAAATTGACCATGTAATTGGAAGTAAATCACTCCTCAGCAAATGCAAAAGAACGGAAATCTTAACAAACAGTCTCTCAGACCACAGTGCAATCAAGTTAGAACTCAGAAATCAGAAAATAACTCAGAACCACAGCTTCATGCAAACTGAAGAACTGGCTCTTGAATGTTGACTGGATAAGCAATAAAATGAAGGCAGAAATAAAGATGTTCTTGGTGTGGGGCCGTGTCTCAGTCCATCCAAGGTCCCCTCGGATCGCCCGGAGAGGCATTCGGACCTGGAGCAGTGAGCAGAATGAATACCTTCCAAGACAAGAGTGGCAGCTCCAGTAATAGAGAACCCCTTTTGAGATGTAGTGATGCACGGAGGGACTTGGAACTTGCTATTGGTGGAGTTCTCCGGGCTGAGCAGCAAATTAAAGATAACTTGCGAGAGGTCAAAGCTCAGATTCACAGTTGCATAAGCCGTCACCTGGAATGCCTTAGAAGCCGTGAGGTGTGGCTATACAAACAGGTGGACCTCATCTATCAGCTTAAAGAGGAGACACTTCAGCAGCAAGCTCAGCAGCTGTACTGGTTACTGGGCCAGTTCAATTGTCTTACTCATCAGCTGGAGTGTACCCAAAACAAAGATCTAGCCAATCAAATCTCTGTGTGCCTGGAGAGACTGGGCAGTTTGACCCTTAAGCCTGAAGATTCAACTGTCCTGCTCTTTGAAGCCGACACAACTGCTCTGCGCCAGACCATCACCACCTTTGGGTCTCTCAAAACCATTCAAATTCCTGAGCATTTGATGGCTCATGCTAGTTCATCAAATATTGGGCCCTTCCTGGAGAAGAGAGGCTATATCCCAATGCCAGAGCAGAAGTCAGCATCCAGTATTGCAGCTGTCCCTCTCAGCGAATGGCTCCTTGGAAGCAAACCTGCCAGTGGTCATAAGTCTCCTTACATATCCAGCACCAACCCCCAGGACTGGCTCACCCAAAAGCAGACCTTGGAGAATAGTCAGACTTCTTCCAGAGCCTGCAATTTCTTCAGTAATGTCTGGGGAAACCTAAAGGACTTAGAAAACTGGCTTCTCAAGAGTCAGCAACAGGAAGTTCCTGAAAAACCAAGTTATCAAAAGTGTAACAGCCATTCCAATGCTAGTTCTTTCTCCACTGAAATGGAAAAGGTTGAAGATCTAGAGCTTCCTGATCAAGATAAGATGGACTTATCAGATTGGCTGGTGACTCCCCAGGAATCCCATAAGCTGGGGAAGCCTGAGAATGGCAGTCATGAAATCAGTGAGAAGTTTAAGCTCTTGTTCCAGTCCTATAATGTGAATGATTGGCTTGTCAAGACTGACTCCTGTACCAACTGTCAGGGAAACCAGCCCAAAGGTGTGGAGATTGAAAACCTGGGCAATCTGAAGTGCCTGAATGACCACTTGGAGGCCTAGAAACCATTGTCCACCCCCAGCGTGGTTACAGAGGATCGGCTTGTCCAGAACTGTCAGGACCCATGTAAGGTAGAGGAGGTGTGCAGAGCCAATGAGCCCTGCACAAGCTTTGCAGAGTGTGTGTGTGATGAGAATTTTGAGAAGGAGGCTCTGTATAAATGGCTTCTGAAGAAAGAAGGAAAGGATAAAAATGGGATGCCCATGGAACCCAAACCTGAGCCTGAGAAGCATAAAGATTCCCTGAATATGTGGCTTTGTCCTTCTAGAAAAGAAGTAATAGAACAACCTAAAGCACCAAAGGCAATGGTTCCTTCTAGAATTGCTGATTCCTTCCAAGTCATAAAGAACAGCCCCTTGTCGGAGTGGCTTATCAGGCCCCTATACAAAGAAGGAAGTCCCAAGGAAGTGCCTAGTACTGAAGACAGAGCTGGCAAACAAAAGCTTAAAAGCACCATGAGTACTTTCTGGTGTCCCTTTAATACAGCAGACTGGGTCCTGCCAGGAAAAAAGATGGGCAGCCTCAGCCAGTTATCCTCTGGAGAAGACAAGTGGCTGCTTCGAAAGAAGGCCCAGATGTGAAGACAAGAGTTGAGCCGCCTTTCTGCCAGTTATCACACATCATGAGCTGAGTGACTGCAGCTTGCCAAATCATTGTGTTTCTGGGTCTGAACAGTTAGCTTAGTTCTTCTCTCACCTAATTTTGAACTAGTAAAGCAAAGTGAGTCATCAGATTTGAGTTACTGTTTAAAAGAAAAATGCTGTTTATTGATGCTGAGGTAATTCAGTTCCTTCCTTCTTACAGAAGTGTTAATTTACTCCCACACTAGAAATGCAGCATCTTTGTGGATACATCTTTTTCACAAGCCTCCAAGGCTTCTTAGATTGGGTCGTTACTAAAAGTACATGAAAACACTCACTCTAGTTTTAAAAATGAAATATTTCTGTAATCGAGGTATATTGATATATTCTAAAGCTAGTAAACTTCCCTAATGTTTAATTGCCCTATAGATGCTTCTCTTGCTGTGGGTTTTCTTGTTAGTGGTCTGAAATAATGATTTTCCTGTTCTATTAATATGTAGTGTATTTTACACAAAAAATTAATCTGGCTAATAGTGACTACCAAAATATGTATTAATAATCTTGGCAATTTTTGACATTACCCAATGTTTTAGCCTACATGTTTTACATTACTATTCACTTGAAACTCAGCTACTGCAAACTTTTTTCTTTCTGTAAATGTTACTAAAATATCCTGTGAGCTCTTTTAGAAGGGTTCAGTATTTCAAGAGGATTTTTGAGGCAGTTCTAGCCTTTTAAAATATTCTATAGACCTACGGGGTTTAAAGGAACCCCAGTAATAACTAAGCAAATAGGCAAAGACATGTTGGAAATATAGTATGGTACTTGAACTATTCACTATATTGGTGCATCCTGTGTAAATGGAATTATTGGTGCATCCTGTGTAAATGGAAGCTGAGCTTGACACCTGGTGCTTTTAACTAGGGATACAGTCGTCCTTCTCCTGCAAGCACAGCACACCTTTACCTCCAAAGGTGACATTATAGTGAATAGGCTGTTTTCAACACTTGTGCCTTCGGGTGTTCATTGAAACTTTATGAAAACTACTGATGTTTTCTCAATGTCCTTAAAGTTATGTCCATGCTTTAAAATGTCTCTGTAGGAGAGAAGTGGGGTTTATAATGTTTTTAAATTCTCTAAAGATATCTTTGCTGCTTTCCAGACTTTGAAACTATTAAGCTTCTTAACTGCCTGTTACTGGAAATACTTCTGGGGAAACTTCATGGTTCCACAATATCATTGCTATACAGCTTCACTAGAGTTCTTTGAATCACAGCTGGAAAGAGCTTTGTATTATTTTTTAATTCCCTCCCCAGATATCACTTAGAACTATTATAATAAAGGTGATGGGCAAAAACAACATAAGGAGCCTTTCAGTTATCTTAAGTTGCAGCTAACTCTGTAGTTTCTTTCTTGAGGCCAAATACACTGTATTTTACATTGTCAAAATGTAATTTACATTAATCACTATGTTAATGAGTATGTGAAACATTCTTTTGCATTGATGAATTTTGCATCTGCCTCCATTAAAAGCATAACAGCCATAAAAAAAAAAAAAAAAAAAAAAAAAAAAAAAAGATGTTCTTACAAGCCAACGAGAACAAAGATAAAACATACGAGAATCTCTGGGACACATTTAAAGCAGTGTCTAGAGGAAAACATATAGCAATAAATGACCAAATGAGAAGCAAGGAAAGATCTAAAATTGACACCCTATTGTCAAAACTGAAAGAGTTAGAGGAGCAAGATAAAAAAAACTCAAAACCTAGCAGAAGACAAGAAATAACTAAGATCAGAGCAGAACTGAGAAGATAGCGCCACAAAAAACCTTTCAAAAAATCAATAAATCCAGGAGCTGGTTTTTCAAAAAGATCAACAAAATAGACAGACCACTAGCCAGATTAATAAAAAAGAAAAGAGAATAATCAAATAGATGCAATAAAAAACGATAAAGGGGATATCACCACAGATTCCACAGAAATACAAACCATCACCAGAGATTATTTCAAACTACTCTATGCAAATAAACTAGTAAACCTGGAAGAAATGGATAAATTCCTGGACACTTATATCTTCCCAAGCCTAAACGAGAAAGAATCCTAAACCCTGAATAGACCAGTAACAAGAGCAGAAGTTGAGGCAGCAATTAAGAGCCTACCACCCAAAAAAAGTCCAGGTCCAGATGGGTTCACAGCTGAATTCTACCAGACATACAAAGAGGAGCTGGTACCATTCTTTCTGAAACTATTCCAAATAATACAAAATGAGGGAATCCTTCCCAAATCATTTTGTGAGACCAACATCATCCTGATACCAAAACCTAGCAGAGACGCAGCAAGAAAAGGAAACTTTAGGCCAATATCCATCATGAACATAGATGCAAAAATCTTCAATAAAATACTGGCAAGCCAACCGCAACAGCACATCAAAAAGCTTATCCACCATGATCAAGCAGGCTTCATCCCGGGGATGCAAGGCTGGTTCAACATACGCAAGTCTATAAACGTAATTCACCGCATAAACAGAACCAAAGACAAAAACCACATGATTATCTCAATCGATGCAGAGAAGGCCTTTGACAAAATTCAACAGCCCTTTATGCTAAAAACCCTCAATAAACTAGGTACCGATGGAACGTATCTCAAAATAATAAAAGCTATTTACGACAAACCAACAGCCAATATCATACTGAATGGGCAAAAACTGGAAGCATTCCCTTTGAAATCTGGCACTAGACAAGGATGCCCTCTCTCACCACTCCTATTCAATCTAGTACTGGAAGTTCTAGCCAGAGCTATCAGGCAAGAAAAACAAATAAAGGGTATTCAGATAGGAAAGGAGGAAGTCAAACTGTCTCTATCTGCAGATGACATGATTGTATATTTAGAAGACCCCAACGTCTCAGCCCCAAATCCCCTGAAACTGATAATCAACTTCAGCAAAGTCTCAGGATACAAAATCAATGTGCAAGAATCACAGGCATTCCTATACACCAATAACAGAGAGCCAAATCAAGAATGAAATGCCATTCACAATTGCTACAAAGAGAATAAAATATCTAGGAATACAACTAACAAAGGATGTAAATACCTCTTCAAGGAGAACTACAAGTCACTGCTCAATGAAGTAAGATAGGACACAAACATATGGAGAAACATTCCATGTTCATGGTTAGGAAGAATCAATATAGTGAAAATGGCCATACTGCCCAAAGTAATTTACAGATTCAATGCTATCCCCATCAAGCTACCAATGACCTTCTTCACAGAACTGGAAAAAACTACCTTAACTTCATATGGAACCAAAAGAGAGCCCGCATAGCCAAGTCAATTCTAAGCAAAAAGAACAAAGCAGGAGGCATCACACTACTGGACTTCAAACTATATTACAAGGTTACAGTGATCAAAACAGCTTGGTACTGGTACCAAAACAGAGATATAGACCAATGGCTCAGAGGCAATGCCACACATCTACAACCATCTGATCTTTGACAAACCTGACAAAAACAAACAATGGGAAAGGGATTCTCTGTTAAATAAATGGTGTTGGGAAAACTGGCTAGCCATGTGCAGAAAGCAGAAATGACCCCTTCCTGACACCTTACGCTAAAATTAACTCCAGATGGATTAAAGACTTAAACATAAGACCTAACACCATAAAAACCCTAGAAGAAATTCTAGGCAAAACCATTCAGGACATAGGCATAGGCAAGGACTTCATGACCAAAACACCAAAAGCATTGGCAACAAAAGCCAAAATAGACAAATGGGACCTAATCAAACTCCACAGCTTCTGCACAGCAAAAGAGACAGTCATTAGAGTGAATTGGCAACCAACAGAATGGAAAAAAATTTTTGCAATCTACCCATCAGACAAAGGGCTCATATCCAGAATCTACAAAGAACTATAACAGATTTACAAGAAAAAACAAGCCCATTCAAAAGTGGGTGAAGGATATGAACAGACACTTTACAAAAGACATACAGGAGGCCAACAAACCTATGAAAAAATGCTTATCATCACTGGTCATTAGAAAAATGCAAATCAAAACTACATTGAGATACCATCTCACACCAGTTGGAATGGCAATCATTAAAAAATATGGAGACAACAGATACTGGAGAGGATGTGGAGAAACAGGAACACTTTTACACTGTTGGTGGGAGTGTAAATTAGTTCAACCATCATGGAAGACAGTGTGGAGATTCCATGGACCTAGACACAGAAATTCCATTTGACCCAGCAATCCCATTACTAGGTATATATCCAAAGTATTATAAATCTTTCTACTGTAAGGAGACATGCACACGAATGTTCATTGCAGCACTGTTTACAATCACAAAGACCTGGAACCAACTCAAATGCCCATCGATGATAGACTGGACAGGGAACATGTGGCAGATATACACCATGGAATACTATGCAGCCATCAAAAACAATGAGTTCGTATCCTCCGTAGGGACATGGATGAACCTGGAAACCATCATTCTCAGCAAAATAACAGAACAGAAAATCAAACACCGCATGTTCTCACTCATAGGCAATGAAAACACATGGACACAGGGAGGGGAGCATCACACACTCGGGTCTGTAGGGGGAAAATAGGGGAGGGACAGCAGGGGGTGGAGAGTTGGAGAGAGACAGCATGGGGAGGAATGCCAGATATAGGTGATGAGGAGGAAAGCAGCAAATCAATCTGCCATATGTGTACCTATGCAACAATCTTGCATGTTCTTCACATGTACCACAAAACGTAAAATGAAACAAACAAACAAACATATGGGCAGACCCGGAGCAGTGACTCACGCATATAATCCTAACACTTTGGGAGGCTGAAGTGGATGGATCACTTGAGGTCAGGAGTTCAAGACTAGCCTGGCCAATATGATGAAACCCCATCTCTACTAAAAATACAAAATTGGCCGGATGTGGCGGTGCATGCCTGTAGTTCCAGCTGCTGGAAGGCTGAGGCAGGAGAATCACTTTAA